TTTTTTGGCAGGATGGAATCAGTTTGTCAATGATTGAAAAAAAAAATCAACTTAAGACCATAAATATATATGCGCTGGAATTTTGCACCATTTGTAAGTCATATCTATTGAATGAAATAATAAGAAAATATTTAACTTAAATAAGCATAAACCACATGACCGAAATGAATGGCGAAGATAGACTCATATAGCCGACCCCAAATGATTGAAACATAAGACTTGGTTTGATTGATTGCATCGGCGGAACCACATGGGGACCAGGGTGGGCACTCCCCCCCCCCCCCACTTTTGAACCATCTTAGATGAGGACCCATAAAATTATTTTATATATTATATTTGCCCCTGTAAATTTTTGAAAATTTCAATAATAGCTGTAGTCTTTTCTTTTTTCAATAAATTAGTGGTCCACTAACACTTTAAAATAAATATATTAATTTTGGATTGAGCCAATCAGATGTAACTATCCTAATCTATTTGTACATTGACGAAAATACAATATTTCTCTTTATCTAATATAATGTTCATTACTTTCTAAGAATAATTTTTAGTTTTCATTAACTATTTTTTTAGTAATAATAGTTCATAACCTAATAAAATACGATTGTATACAAACGACAAAAGGTTGAAATCAAAAAATATTTCAAGCTATTTCAAATAGGAAATTTCTCTATAACGTCGATAATGATCTCAACTAAATTTTATAATTAAATGAAGAATAATTTTACTGCGGATTTGTGATTGTGCAGATTGATAGAAAATTAGTGAAACACTAATTTACATTTAATTCATATACAAAATTTTAGAGATTTTAAAAAAAATATATATATTTTATTGAAACATATAATTAGGTTAAAATGTACTAAAAAATTATTTTGTATCTTTTTGTTAGGATTTTGTTTCGGCTAAATAAAAATTAAATTTACAATTTTATAATAATTATGTCTTGATTCTTACTTTTTTGTCATTCTTAAACTGAATTCTTTTGTATCAATTTCGGCTAAATATTTTTTTTGTATCAGTTATATTTTGCGCCCTCATAGATATTCCTATCTCCGCCCCTGGTTGGTTGTTTGTAAGTCGTATCCATTAGATTCCATGTTTCAAGTCTTAATTCTTGCCGAAGTGACTAATTGAGTAACTATATCCTCGCGCGTAGGCATGCCATTCACAACACTACTAAGAACCAGTCTCACCCCTTCAACTTCTTTACTATTTTTCCAGCAGCTGAGATTTCATTTGGCTTTATTGCTCCAACTAGGCTCTAAAGTTTTATAGGTTTTCTAAAGTAGTACATCTTTTGAAAGGTTTTCTTTCTTTCTTTCTTTGCTCTTAAGAGATCCCTCATTTTTCTCAAGTAGACTCATCATTCTATCCTAATATACCTACTCACTAAAATAAATAAAACTTTACTCTATAATTCATTTATTTTTATTCTTTGACTTTCTTTATAGCAGAGCACGAATTGCTACCTACTAGGTGACATACAGGAACACACATGGATCAGACATATTTCACTTAAACCAGCAAGCCAAAAGCCACACATCATATGCCAAAAACTTGCTAAAAACAAATAGTAAATAGGCATTGGCTAGTTAATCAAATTTTTAGGGATAAACATAAAAAAAAAAATTGAATTCAACCTTTTTGTCTGAGACAGATGAGCACACCCACCAGCAGGCTTCAACCAATATCTCAGGAACAATAACCCAAGGAAATTTATATGATGTTTTTGTAATAAATCAGCTAAATCAATAGCTACCTGAACTGCAGCTTGTATGTCTGAAGTTCTAAGCCTGGCATCACAAATAGCTGTCACTGCTTCACTAACAAATTTGCTTAAGTTGACGATTCGCAACTCATCCATCAAACCTTCCCGCTGCTCCTCACTTATCTGCTTAAGTTTTTTTATAACTGCTGTGTTGCGTTTAATGCTGGAGTCTAATGTCCTGAGGAAACCAGAATCTGAACCAACAGTGCATCAAATCAACATCCATGAAAAGGAATTCATGTCCAAAAGATATGACAATTTTTATGAGACTGTCAAAAGCAAATGCTATTACTTAGACACAATGGCTAGTCCAACTCTGCAAAGAACACACTACAGATTCAGCCAGCAGCATATGTATTTGTGTACTTATGATAAGCACAATTTCAAAAAAATCAATTTGAACGAGTGAAGAAAACAAAGATATACTAGACCAACAGGAGAGGGGATGAAAATTCATGCAAGATCCTTTCAATGAGTTGTGAGAGCTACTCATTGAGAGAGGGGAGGAAAGAGAGATGGAGGGAGAGAAGATCAGTTAAGGCTGGTTGTTTAAAATTCATATAACAGGGAGGAGAAATACACATAAAAGCAAGGTTCTCAAAACGTGAACCAGAAAGCTCATCGTCTTTCAAAAATAATGTATCGTGCATCGTAATGTATCGTGTATCGTAAGATACGCTTAATTTAAATTTACACACACACACATAACTAAAACCTGTAAAAATATAGTGTCTGAAGTAACATAAATACCATTCAATAACAATTCTCAATCAATAACATCAAAAGTTAATATGCACAATGTATAATGAAAGCATCACATGAATTCAATTTCGAAAGAAATGCTAACTTTTGAATATCCTGTGAATGAGAACAATTTAGAAGAAAGACAAATGGAAAAAATTGTTTGGCAACAGAATTTCAGAAGGCCTAATAAAATTGCCGCCCATAAGGCTAACATCATGGATGCAGTCATAAATAATATGTTTACATTCCAGCACATAGAATTGCTAATGACTCTAAATACCCACTAAAGAACTTCAAAGTTCAAATATCAACTATCTAAAGTAACATCAGTTTTTGTCTTTTTGCTCATTTGTTATCACTGACTGAAGTTCATATATCAGCTAATCCAGAGTATCACCAGCTTCATTTGTTCTAAGGTGTCATCTAGCAAAAACAGTACAGTACTTGGTCATCACATTCTGGTCACATTAAAAGAATCACATATTTAATGTTACTACAAAATTCCAACTCTAAAGTACAAAAAGACCAATTAGAAATTTCCAAATTTTGGAAGGAAAGCAACATGGACTTAAAAGTACACAATCTCTTGCAGATACTAACCAGGTCTTTCAGGGTTCAAGTTACTCAGACGAAGATCCATTTTTGCTTCAACTGATTTCTTAAATTCCTCAAGACGGGCAACAGTTCCCTGCAAATGTATATGATATATTCTTATTTTAGTGAGTTCACTCAAAAGTCAGAAATTCTAGATGTTAGAATAAAAGCCACTTATCATTGTTCTAATTTTTAAAAGGTAAACGGGAAAGAATAAGATAGTTGTTTACGATTAACATTGACTTAATCACATATATGACAACAATAAAGTACAAAACAATGCAGAGAATATACAATGACCTAAGAGAATCACTTTGAGAAGCTGTGCACCAAATGAGACACTTAATGTTCAGGTTGTAACTTACAAGTAATCTTTGTTAATACCACAATCTCACCTCATCATTTTGTTTGTCATGATTTTCACCTCCAACACGACAATCATCCTCGGGGTGTTCCATCTGGCTGTCTGCAACAACAGAATTACATATTAACAAGGAAAGTCACTTAGAGGACTATCAAGAAAATCCAACCATATAGCAGAACAAAACAAAAATAAAACCTACAAAAAACTTGCAAGAAACCCCACCTATTAGGCACTATAAACAGTTAAACTAAGTATACCTTGCGAAAAAAACATACACCATATCTCATACAAAACAGTAATCACCTTTTTGTACAATGACTAAAAGGGTTCTAATCTAGATATTGATAAGGCTTCTGGGAAAGCTTGCTAGGCGCATAGAAGTACCACAAGTGCTCATACAAAAATGAACCACTTATACATGTCGTCAAGATAATATATTTGCATTAAAATGCGCTAGTCGCCATTCCAAGGTCAATTTTTCAGAGTCATAGGAGAAAGAATGCATCTACTCTAATCGATAGTACCATCAGTCGAATTAATGACATTAATTTTTATTTTAGTGCTCACCATGTACCCAATTACTCAATCAACTGAATCAATAGTATACAAGCTTTGCTGAGCAGAAGTTGGACTCAAATAAAACAGATTGCAAGAGGTAAAAAAAGCATTTTTTTTTAAAACAATCACATAACCATATTACTGGGTAAGCATATTGAGAGAGAGTCGGAAACTATCTGCCAGACTGCCTTCCTACTGCGACAAGCAATCCCAATCTATAAACACCTACACCCATAACATAGTCTCACTCTAAGAGTTTAGTAGTCAATACATTCATCATAAACACCAAAATATCATCAGCTTTAAGAATGTAATGACAACAAGCACATATGGAACACCAAAAATTAAAATGTTAAAATCACTTTCGTTAAAAAATTAATCAAACTGTTGCGCGCGCGCACACACTCACTCACACAGATCAGAATAAGACAATATTTACCAGGATTATACACAATAGACCTAAATTAAAGCGCGTAAACAGAATATAGGTATGAAAAATAAGTAGAAATGACTGCAAAAGCATCAATTTCATCTCCTAATCATCCGAAAACGGAACGATTCCATTCCGCCTGTGAGATCCCCACAACAGCTAATGAAAAAGAGGAAGAAGAAGTGGGTGTTAACGGAAAATCGCCGGAGGAAAAAAAGGAAGAAAGAATACTTACTGGAAGGGCACCGAAGACTCGTCTGATACGAAGAGAAAATTAGAGAGCAGAGAAACTCTGTAGTGGCAATCCGACGTACGGTTTCTGGGAAGAAATAAACCCAAACCAAAAGTGCACCGGCTTGTGAGTTTTCATGGCTCGTAGTCTCGTACTCGGAAGAAAATATTGGGTCTTACACTTCCACCACGTCATTTGTGTAACCCTTTAATAATAAATTAATAAATAGATAAATAAATCTTATATAATTAAATTACTACTAATTACCGAAAAAATATATATATATAATTATATTATATTAAACTGGATAAAGTCTAACTATGCAATAAACAGAATTGGAGTTATATTTATACACTATTATACAAAAATAATGCACTAATAGTGACGCAGATCTTCATAATCAATAAATAAGAAATTAGAATTTATAATCTGAGCCTTATAAAAACACAATATTTTTAAGACAAATTTGCTCCCTCTTAGAGTGCAAAATTGATAAGCAACTATCTCCAAAGATAGAACTGATTTTCATTCTTGAAAAAAGTAGCACTTTAATCTTCAAGATTCCAGCAAACATAACTTATGTTTATATTTGAATCGAACCAAAGGAATAATGTAACAATATATAGAGAGAGGGAAGAAATTCTAAAATTAGAATCCAGAATTGAGATGACAATGGGACAATCTATTTATAGACCCTTGGTGGCTGTTCAGATTGCCTGAAAAAACATAGGTTGTCACTGTCAGATTGAAAAGATATACTCTTTAATATGAACAAGCAATAGGCACCTCCTGGATTGAGCAAGCTCTCTGAAATGAACTCAGACCTCCTTTGACTCCAACTTCAAAGAAAGTAACGGGAAGAAATTTAAGTAGCGTCTGGATTCGATTGTTTTGACCTATGATCCACACCGTTTCAAATAATTTTTGTCCAAAAAAATTATGTCTTTTGGGCCAAAACCCGACCGGGTCGTGGTGTGACGAAGCGGGTGGCGAGCGTGTATGGTAGCCAAGATAGTGTAGACGTTTGCTCTGCTCACAAAAGTGTGGTACTCTTTTGGGCCCAACTCATGAAGTCAACTAGGAATATATTAATTCGTCAAAGTATTGATCTTATTGATCTTCTTCTAATGTGGGACAAGCTTTATTTCACTACATTAATCTTAGTTTATTTCATCACTTTAAATAAATCACTTTGAAACATAAGTTTTTATTCAAATCTTAATGATTTTTGACAAATAAATATACTAAGTTAATCTCCTCACAGAGTAGAATGCGTTTAAACTTGATCCCACTAATTTCGAGATATGAGTCCCATTTTTATTTAAATCTCAAATTACTCATAATTTGTTTAAAACCATTTTTTTCAACAATCAATTTATGATAATGTAGACACTGGTTCAAGTACAAGTGAAAGATTACTGCATCTGGATAAGTAGCTAGTGGTCTTGAACTTGTCGTAATGACAAACTATCGGATTTACTTGGCTATATATCTTTAAACTGTCAGTCGTTTGTGTAAACCTAGACAATAGAATTCACAAAGTTTCCTTTGGACACAATTGATTCTCACGTTTGTATTCATTTTGGCCTTAAACACTACTTGGTTTTATGAGTAATTTAGAGTAATTTAGCCTACAATTCTAATAGAAGCGCCCTTTTTTACACACAAATGTGATTTCTGATTAAGAGTATTCTGTTACACACAAATGTGATTTCTAACTCCACTTGATTAAGAGCAACTTATCCTAGTTATTGCGACATATGTGCACTGTCTCATCATATGAATGGGAAGGAGTTTAGAAAATCTCCTCAATGCGTATTGAGTTACATATAATTCGGTTGTTCCTTTGAACTTAGGCCTTGGAATTTCCAGTCAGCTAAGTTACATTGTCATTATGGCGATTCATGATTAAGTAATAGACTTTAGGCTCATTCCCTTCAACGAACTTTCCACTTGCTTTTTAGTCAAACATTTTGTAAGCGAATCCACAATATTATTCTTTAACTTCACATAGTCAATTGATGTAATACCATTTTGTATAACAATATTGTGTCTATGACGTATATGTTTAGACTTACTATTATACATAAAATTCTATGCCTTTTCAATCGTAGATTGACTATCACAATGAATGCATATTGCAGGCATAGGCTTTGGGCAATTTGGAATATCGTCTAAGAAGTTACAAAATCATTTTGCTTATTTTCCCACTTTGTCTAAGGCAATGAACTCAAATTTCATTGTAGATCTAGCAATACAAATTTGCTTTGAGGATTTTCAAGATATGGCTGCACTAACCAAGGTAAAAACATATCCGCTTGTGGATTTTGAATCTTTAGTATCGGATATCCAATTAGCATTGGTATATCCATCGAGTACTGCGGGATACTTCGTGTATTTTGGTTATATTTTAAATATCTCAAAACTCTAATAATTACTTTTTAGTGGTCTTTTTTAGAATTACTTGTATATCAACTTAGTTTACACACTGAGTATGCTATATCCATATGTGTAAAATTCATTATATACATTAAACTATCAATTATATGTGCACATTCTAACTATAATATACTATTACCCCTATTCTTAGAAAGATGGATATTAACATCAACAAGTGTTCTCATTGGTTTTATTTCATATGTCTTAAACTTATCAAGTACTTTATTAATATAATGAGATTGATATAACATGAGTTCATCTAACGTTCTAAAAATTTTAATTTCTAATATAATGTCAATAACACCTAGGTCTTTTATTTCAAACTTATTTGTCATCTGCTTTGTAGCTTTAATGACATCGTTATTACTGCATATAATTAGCATGTCGTCTACATAAAGACATACAATAATGTATCTACTATGAGTGCTTTTAACATATGCACATTTGTCTGACACATTTATTTTGAACCCGTTTGGCACAATTTCTTTGTCAAAATTTTCACGCCACTGTTTCGATGCTTGTTTTAAACCATATAGAGATTTAAAAAACTTGTAAACTTTATTTTCTTGTTCAATAACAATGAACCCCTCAAGTTATTCCATGTATATTTCTTCATCTAATTCACCATTTAAGAATACTACTTTTACGTCCATTTGATGTATTTCAAGACCATTTAGTGCAGCTATAGTAGTTAATATCCGTATGGAGGAATTCTAGTAACTGGTGAACAAGTGTCAAAATAATCCAATTCTTTCATTTGTTTATATCTTTTGGTTACAAGTCTAGCTTTATACTTGTCAATGAATTCATCGACTTTTATCTTATTTTTAAAGATCCATTTATAGCCTAAAGGTTTGTTACATAGTGGAAGATCCACCAACTCTCATTTATGATTCCTTACAATAGATTCGATATCAGAATCGACACCTTTCTTCCATGAAGGAGTTTCAGGGGAGGACATAACTTCTTTGAAAATTTTGAGGATCATTTTCTAATAGATACGTTAGAAAATCAGGACCAAATGACTTTAAAGTCATTGGCCGCTTATTACATCTATGTTCATCTTCAATGAACTCCTCGTTTTGACAATTACTAGTTGCAGCCTCAATTGATCTTTTTAATGAGGTTGATTCATGTGACATATTAAATAAAAAATTATTTTCAAAGAATTACGCATTTGTCGACTCTCTAATTGTATTAATATGCATATCAGAAATCTTAGATTTATAAACGAGAAATCGATATGCATTTTTGTTTTAGGTATAACTAATGAATATACAATCAATGATTTTTTGGTCCTATCTTAACTTTTTTAGGTTAGGAACCGCCACTTTTGCTAGATATACCCACATTTTTAAGAATTTATACGAAGGGCTTTGATATTTCTATAATTCATATGGTGTTCTATTAGTTTTCTTATAAGATACCTTGTTAACAATATAATTAGCATATAATAAGGTTTTCTCCCCCAAGTTTTGGGATACTCCCGAACTTGACAACATAACATTCATCATTTCTTTTAATATTCAATTTTTGCATTTAGCTACGCCATTTGATTGAGGTAAATAAATGACAGTCATTTAGTAAATAATTTCATGTGTTGCACAAAACTTTTCAAAAGAAGATTCATATTCTCCACCACTATCACTTTTTAGTGCCTTTTTCTTTCTATTAAGTTAATTCTCAACTTTATTCTTATTATGTTTGAACATATCAATAACCTCATCTTTACTTTTAATTAAGTAAACATAATAGTATTTTATGCAATCATCAATAAAAGTGATAAAATATTTTTTTACCATCTCTTGTTTGCACAAACTTTAAGTTACAAATATTACTATGAATTAATTCAAGAGGTTCGGTACTTCTTTCAATTGACTTGAAAGATGTTCTTGCCAACTTTGATTCTACACAAATCTCACATTTATGATTTGAATCAATAGACATATTAGGCAAATCATTCAAATTAATTAATCTTTTAATTGCATCATAATTAACATGTTCTAGTCTAGCATACCACATATTAAAAGACTCAACCAAGTAAAAAGAATTCATCTAATTCTTATTAATAGAAGATGTTAGTACATCAGTCATTACATTGAACTTAAAAAGCTCATCACTCATGTATTCCTTCCCTACAAACATCTTATTCTTTGTGAATACAAATTTGTCAAATACAAAGACTAACTTAAAGTCATTCTTACTAAGTAAAGAATCGAATACTAGATTTTTGCGAATATTTGGAACAAGAAGCACTTCGTTCAAGGTGAGTTCCTTGTCGAATGTCATCTTGAATATCACATTGCTACTTCCTTCAATCTTGGAGGTAGAGGAATTCCCCATACAGAGTTGTTCATCATTCTCTAGTTTTATATAAGTAGAGAACATCCATTTGTTAGAACAAATATGTCGAGTAGCCCCAGTGTCCACCCATCACTCATTGTGGCTACCCATTAAGTTGCATTCTGAAACAACTGCGGAGAGATTCATGTACTTGACTTCCATAGAAAGCTTGTCTATTTCAGTCATGTTTGCTTGAGAATTAGGCTTTTGAAATTCTTTGGCTTACTACAGTCTTTTGAAATATGTCCCGATTTACCACAATTGTACCACTTACCCTTGAATTTCTTCGATCATTGAATTAGACCATCACTATTATGCTTCCTCTTTTTTTTAGCCTTTATTCCTCCTTCCACAATGTTGGCTTTGGATTCTATTAAGTTAAAGACGTCATTTTTCTTCTCAGATTTATGGTTATCCTCCTTGATTCTCAAGTGAATAATCAAATTTTCAAGTCTTATCTCCTTGCACTTATACTTGAGATAGTTTTTGAAATCCTTCCATAGGGGTGGCAAATTTCTCCACAATTGCAACCACTTGGAACAACTCACTAAGGATAACTTGAAGTTTTTGAACTTGGGATATGACTGTTTTGGAATCCACAATTTTGAAATCCAAGAATTTACTAACAATGAACTTCTTCGTGCTGGTATCCTTGGTCTTGTGCTTTTTATCGAAGGACTCCCAAAGTTCTTTCATGGTTTTGAAAACATTGTATAATGCATTGTCTAACCATTTAAGGATGTAATTTCTGCACAATAAATCCAAATGCTTCCAAGTATTCACAATAATCACCTTTTTCACATTTGTTTCATTCTCATCAAGTGAAATAACATATTCTTTCAAATTTTTTGCAAAATTAAGGGTGGTGAGATAAAAAATGTATTTTAGATTGTCAATGTTTGAAGTCTGAGTCATTGAACTTTTCGGGCTTCTCTCTATGAGACACACTCACAGTCACGATTGTAAGAGCAACTGTTGTACGAACAACAGAATCATTTAAAGTTTGTTATTTCTGTTACACAAATAGAAACAATAATTTAATACTAAAATCAAAGTAAAGCAATAACAAAATACAAAATTATGTTTTTAGAATTATAACAGTATTTAATCTAATTATATTCAAAATATGTCTTAAGATTGTTACTGAAAATATGTATATAATTAGATTATTATTAAACTATATAAATTCTAACTCATGCAATAAATAGAATTGAAGTTATATCTATATAATGTTATACAAAAACAGTGCATTCACAGATCTGCACGATCAATAAAAAAGAAAATCAGAATTTATAATCCGAGCCTTGTGAAACACAATCTCATTAAAACAAATTTGCTCATTCTCGGTACTTAAGGTTGATGAGAAACTGTCTCCTAAGATAAAATAGATTTTCGTTATTGAAGAAGAAGCAGCACTTCAATTTTCAAGATTCAAGTAAACACAATGTGTTTATATTTGAATCGAACCCAAAGAATAATGCAACAATATGTAGAGAAAGAGAAGAAATTTCAAAATTGAAATTCAGAATTAAGATGAATTGAAATGGTAATGAGACATTCTATTTATAGACCCTTGGTCGTTGTTTAGATTGCATGAAAAGGCATGAATTGCTACTGTTCAGATTGAAAAGACACATTCTTTAATTTGAACAAGCAGTAGGCAACTCCTGGATTGAACAAGCTTTTTGGAATGAACCCAGATCTCTTTTGACTCCAAGTTCAAAGAAAGTAACGAGGAAGAAATTTAAAATCCGGTTGGATTTAAATTCCAATCCATGTTTGAATTCAATTGATTTAACTCATGATCCGCACCACTTTAAATAAATTTTGTCCAAAAAAATTATATATTTTGGCTCGAACCCAAACCCGAGCCCGAGCCCGAGTCCAAACCCAAACCCAAGCTCGACCGCGTGGAGTGCGCGTGTGTAATAATCAAGATAATGTAGGCATTCACTCCACTCACAAAAGTGTGGTAACCCTTAGAGCCCAACCCATACAATCAATTAGAAGTATATTAACTCACCAAAGTAATGGTCTTCTTCTAATGTGGGACAAACCTTATTTCATTACACTAATCTTAGTTTATTTTATCACTTCAAATAGATTATTTTGACATATAATTTTTCATTCAAATCTTAATAGTTTTGGATAAATAAATATACCATGTTAATCTCCTTGCGGAGAAAAAAGTGTTTAAACTTGATCCCACCAATTTTGAGATGTAGATCCAACTTTTATTTGGCCTCAAATTGTTCAAATAATTTGTTTAAAATAATTTTTTCCAACACTTGTCATATTATAATTATCCATATAAGATTCACTTGGACTACTTATTATTTTATTATTGGACAGTTATACTATGTCAGCGTGATGATATCCGTGACATCTACTATTTACTTTAGACTTAGAGCATGAGCTTTTTCTAAACCCTACATTATAGCAACGACATAGTGTCACCCTTAGAAAAAAAAATATTTTTTCAAAAAAATCTTATTGTTGAATTTAAAAAACAATAAGCGACTAAAATTTGAAATTAGAAGATGGGGATCAAATCCCAACTCCGAATGGGCAAAAAAAATGTAGAGAATATGAAATTCGGTAGACAATTTTTTTTTTTTTATAAACCGACTTACTGACATCCAAAAAAAATTTAGAGCAACATTAGATCTCCTTAACCATCATTTTACGCCATTATTTATATAAAAAGATAAGATTGACTTTATGTAAAAATTTCATTCGTTACGAAATATTCTACCACATTTTTAAACGACCGTCTTCAAGGCGTACACATGAAAGTACAATTAGTTCCACAAATCTAATGACATTGCCTACAGCAAACTTCTTCTCGTTGTACCAAAACATAGGTATGATTGAAACGACCAATAGATATATAGTTGGTGATCAATTCCTTATTTTGTGATAGTTAATTTCTCACCTAAAACTAAGGTTTAATGCATATCATAGTTAATCTATTGGTGCTCAATAATATCACTTTGGCCTTAATATTATCCCTTCTATTGACCAAGATAAGAAATTTACAGCATAAAAGTTTCCACTCTTTATCTCCCTGTCAACAGAATGGAAAAAAATCAAATTGAAAGGGGGGAAAAAAAAACCAGACTGACACAAATAGTGGAAAATGAGGGTATAATTGTTTTCTTCTTAGAGAAAACAGTGTGGCAACAACATTGCAAAGATAAGAATAACAAAAACCAAGTGAGAAATAAAGACAACTTAAATAACAAGTGATAGCATCCACAAACTTCGACTAATTTTTATGATATATGAATGTGTATGATTTCCTTAATCTTCATAGTCTAACATTTTAATCCAAGTCCAACGATCATTCTGCAGAATCCTAGTAACTGAGGAAGAATCCTTTAACATCATCAAGACAGAGCATTTGAGATGCATGAGAAGGCAGATCCTGGATGCTTTAGCAGCAGAAGTCGTGGTTAGGTTCCCTTGATGGCCTAGCATGTGATAAATCTACTCAAAAGTCGCCCACGCATGCATTGTGATCATAGGATCTCTTGGGAGTGACTACCCCAACTGACTTTGCATAGTAAGCCTAGCAACTCATCTTTCAACTCAACCGGTCCACATACTGCCAACAGAGTGCTTCCTTACCGATTCAAGTCAATTGCTGGAGGACCGGTGAAACTGCCTGGCTTCAGGAGGAAGGCACTAGTGAAAGACACCCTATATTTCAGTGAATCAATTGATGAGGAATTGGCAAAATCAAATGCTAATTTGTGGCTAAAAATAACAATATCAGTTTCTAGCTACCTTAAGCAAGCAAAGTTCTAATGAATGTAAAGAGTAAATTACTTTCCAACTGTCAATGTACAATGATTTAAAGTGTTGAATATCCAAACTAAAGTATGTATAAGGGTACTTTTTCTACTTGTCCTGAGCCACATTCTCCAAGACTTTATAAATTATCAGAAGATGGGTCTCAATGATTCTCTTCTAATCTTTTTCTTTTTAAAGTTCTCAACTATATATGCAGAACTCAAGGTGACAAGGTTATAACCATTATATATCTATCATTAAGTGACTAGAGGATAAATGTATGCCAGCAATTAATTCCAAAAGTGGACTATGTCAATCAATTAATGTGGTCATTTGTTTCTATAAAATCTAATATCATTGTTCCCTCTCAAACTTCAATAAACAATAAGTCATATCCATGTATGTATGTAAAAGAGGACATACTTTCCAATTAACATGGCTAGTGAGCCAATCTCCATCTCTGGAAACAAAGAAAAGAAGAACAAGAACAAGAAAAAGCCTGTATTTCAGATTTTCTTTGTAGGATTTAAGTGCTGACTTCAGAACATGAAAATTGAAAAACAACGTCAGGCCAAACAAATTACATTTCAGAACCAGTGTTGCATACCTGGAGAGCTTGCTTGCCTGAAATTTGAAGCTGCCACGGGATTTTCCCAGCCCCTTCAGTGTTGAATTTGTCATAACCAGCCTCTCTAGTTTTATCTTTGCCTTCCTGCAAAATATGCATGAACAGGCCCAATATAAGCAAATTTCCACTCTGACAAAAACTAAGGCACATTTTGATATCCAATGGAAATTGAATGACTCCACCATTGTGCCCTAATGCCACAAATTGGTCATACAATGAAGAATCTGTAAAACAAAATGCATGGAATGTACATTATGCACTTGAGGAATTTCCTAGAAGAACCTTTCGATTTTTAATTATCACTTGAAATATTTTATGCCTTTTTCCTGTCCAACACGTTGGATAGAAAATAGCTGTTTCTTGGTGATATCCAAACAAAGTACTTAAACAAGCCATTGCAGCAGGGGCACACAAAAAGAATCAATAATCTAACATCTGTATGCCAACATCAATTGCATGAAGTGAAAAATCACTTTTGATAGGAAATCCAATGAACCCTGTTATGTTTACATGCTGGTATATTTCGCCCTGCAGTTGTTAAGCTGTAATTCCAGCTCAGACCTCATCCATGCTACTGATCCAACTGATGAAGACCAATCAAAGCTGATACTGGAGCTTCAAACTAACAAATCTAACATCAGCCAGTTAGGCTAACAGATGTAGCTTAGCTGGCACAGCTTGTTGTAACTAATTATGTACACGTGAGGCAGAGACCATGTGATGTAAACTAACTCAAATCTCTATATAAATACCCATCAGTAGTAATAGAAAGATGTGATGGAATTATTCTGAATAATTGAAATCTTCTCTGCTCTCCTTCTCTCTCTATCTTCTTCTTCCTCATTGCTTGAATCTGATTCTGTTAAGCATTGACTTTGAAGTTGCCGATCAGAGTAATAGCATGAGCTACTGCCGGTCCAACTGCAGCTATTTCCTTTTCTAAAGTTTTCTCTTACATAGCTGGCAGGTCCTTGTTTATATATTGTCTACATTATCTGGTGTAAACTATTTCATTTTAACTTCTTACCCTTGGCATTTCTTCTTAGAAATGAGGGCACAATGCATCAATCGTGCCTTTCACCAAACTCTGGCCCAGAGATGCCTATGGTCATCTGGTTTCTTTGGTAGCGGGGGCAGGCATCACAGCACTCATCTGCTTCTGTATTCTCTTTGTATGCACACTAACTGCAATGTTAAACAAAACCATAGAGTTGGAATGCGAATACATTTTAAGCCTCATGCATCTACCAGAAAATGTGCATACATACATATAAACAGGATTTAAATAATAATAGAACTTTTTGGAATCTGATTATGTGATTATATTTATTCTTAGCAAATATATATATACATACATACATATATATATACACGGAACATGAAGAAAATGAGTTAATATCACACTAGTGCAAGAGAAAAATCGAGACTCTCATACTAGTAAATCTCATGCAAAGCTAGTTTGTAGAGAAAAACCCATATTTAGGTCACTTAGGTGGATTTGATTTGCTCTCAATTAATTAACTCAGAATAAAAGAGGCATGTCAATTTAGCACTCAAGAGACAGGTTTACAGACTCACAGCCATATCAGTGATATCTCTGCCACCAGATAGTTGTAGGATATATGACGTTGATTTTAGTGCTACCAGTAGTCTCCACAGGAACAAAATCCACCACGGAAATGATGGAAACGGTTTGTGTCCCTCAAAATGATTTCTCTGTCCAACAGCTTTGACACAAATTTAAATGCTGTATGGCAATCACCACAAACTCTTATGTTCTTCTTGATCCGGATGGTGGATCCAGGTGGTGCATTCAAAAGTGCAAATGCTAGAGCAAGCTTTTCACTATGGTATTGCAACTTGGTTTCTCTCTCTTGCTGGTCCACAAATAAAAGCACGTGGCTAGTATCTGGGACATACCCAATCTCCTTAATTCTAGCACTGATTTCCTCCCACATCTTACGGATATCCTCTCTCTGAGGGTGGGCATCATCATTTGCCACAAACAAGTGGACCACATTCTCGATCTCCACCCAACTACAAGCAGGTTCCTTCTTCACCCCGCTCTCTCTCATCATCTTTCTCACTTTTGCAGCGTCACTCCATCTACCAGCAGAAGCATAAATATTAGAGAGCAATACATGGGGTCCGGAATCATAGGGATCAAGTTCAAATACACGTTCAGCAGCATATGCACCCAACTCCATATTCTTATGCATTCTACAAGCCCCAAGCAGAGCTCCCCAGACGGCTGCAGTGGGTTCAATTGGCATTTCTTTTATGAATCTTTCAGCCAAATCAAGACGACCTGCTCGACCAAGTAGATCTACAATTGTTACATAATGTGAAACATCCGGTTCCACCAGATATTTTTTCATCAACTCAAAATAGTATTGTCCTTTGTCCAAAAGGCCAGCATGGCTGCAAGCAGTTAGAACACAGAGAAAGGCTATACCATTAGGTTCAACACCAATCCTAAGCATTTCCTCAAAGCGCTCCACCGTTTCCTTCCCAAGCCCATGTTGAGCACAAGCAGAAAGCATCGAATTCCAGGAAACTACATCTCGCCTTATCAGTCTATCGAAAACTTTTTTGGCATCCTCAATGCTACCAGATTTAGCATACATGTCAAGAAGAGTGTTCCCAACAAAAGCAATAAGCTTTAACCCCGACTTTATCATATGGCCATGCACCCATTTCCCCTGCTCTAAAGCTCCAGTACTAGCACAGCCAGTGAAAACACTGGAATAAGTAAAATGGGTCGGTTTAAAATCTTTCCTTTGCATCTCCATAAACAGCTGAACCGCATTCTCTCCCTCATCCTTCCTAGCATACCCAGCAATCAAAGCATTCCAAGAGACCTCATTCTTGCTTATCATCCCATCAAAAACAAACATTGCTTCATTCATATACCCACACCTAGCATACATATCCACAAGCGCACTCCCCACATAAACATTCAAATCATAACCATACTTCAAACAAAACCCATGAATTTGCCTACCTTCTCTATCACTAGGCCTAGCCGCTGAAGCTTTGAGAAGACTAGAAAAGGTAAAGTGATTAGGCTTTAAATCAAGACGCAACATTGGAGGAAACAAAACTAGCGCTTCTTCAGGTCTGTCATTCTGAGAATATCCAGTAATCAATGCGGTCCAAGTAACCATGTCTTTAGTGGGCATTTCATCGAACACTCTACGAGCCTCTTCAAGACTACCGCACTTGGCATACATATTGAGAACTGTATTCTGTATAACTTGGTAGTGTTTGAATTGGGAATTGAGAAAGTGGGTGTGGACCATTCTTCCTTCTTTGAGCTTACTCATCTGGGTGCACTTGTTGAGCAATTTGTTGTAAAGGGCCGCGTCTGGTTCCATTCGATCGTTGTCGATTAGGTCCAGTAAATGAAGTTTTCCATTCTGGGTTTTACGAAGAAAGTCCTTTTCTTGAATGACGCCACAAGATGTGTTGAACCCTTCTTCGTCTTCTTCTTCTTGTTCGCTTTCCGAGTTGGTCAATGTGGCTGAAGTTGCAAATGTGGTGAAAAAATGGGGGGAGACGAAAATTGCCATGAGTGACCTTGTTGAGGAGAGAATTGCATTGGAGATCACGGGTGGATGGGTACAGACTCGAGAATATATACCTTTTCTCATGTATGCAGATTTTGAGCAGGGGAACCCGGACGATGTGCCACTGATCTATGTGCGGGCGCAAGAAATTGAAATTATTAGCTTGAGGACACATAACGAAATTGAAGTTAGGATTAATCGAAGCTGTGGTCCTCAAAATTTGCGCTTGGTCCTTAAAATTTGTGCTTGCTTTATTTTGGATCCTAATATTATAATTATATCACATTAATTCCTAATATATTAAATTTATTTTTAAGTGGTTCTTATGTATAATATCGTCTAAATTTTTAATGATTTTTGCTCACTTACTTCAGACATGTTCTCAAATGAAAGGTATTTTGGAAAAATCATCGTCTACTTGACCCAAAAAAAAAAAAAATACTCTCCCCTTCATTTTAGTTCCCCAAAATTTATGAGGGATGTTTAGACCCAAAAAATTTATCAAGTTTTTAACTTAAAATGTCTGAGTTTACGTCTATGTCTCCACTAGACTAACCTTGAGTTATGCAAACTTCATTTATGTACTCGAACACTTTCCCGTTTTATTTTTAAAAAGAGCCTTGTAACTCGGACATAATTTTAAAATTAAAATGCAGTGTTAATTTTGATATTGATAAATACTATTTATATTAATTTGGAAACTTAATTTTAAAAACCAATGTATTATTTTCATTGAATTGTTAATGATTTCCCTATGATGGGTTCTTACTAACTCAACTATAGTAGCACAATAGGTTTGATGTCACTATTTTTTCACTCATGGTTGTTAACTCACAATGTTTTGTATGCCACATCATCAATTCTATCACTGTGCACATAAGTTCCAAATTTTCTTCTATTCTCGAAAAGGCTCTCCTAAAGCTTAATCTGGTTCTTTAATCTGTCATTGATTTCACCATGATCAATTGTTCTCCATTTTCTTTTGTGGGTTGGCTGGTGTACGCTTTGTCTTTGTGTGTTTTTGTTGTTAGGGGGTGGTGGGGAGTAAACGTTGGGCGTAACAGTGATCACGTCGTTCGGAATGCGTCGAGGTTAATGTTGATTCTAGAATTAATCTTATTTTACATTTTGAAAGATACTATAATTTTTAATTTATACCCTTAAATGTTAAATATTTAAATTTTCACCCCAATATTATTACTTGGTAGCAATGTGGACTTCGTCAAGATTGTCGTTCAATTTTTTGTCATAAATTGAAGTATATGAGTTACGAGTATTTCTAGCATGAGGATGAGGTGTGTCTATCGCTGCAGATCTTTCATCTGCGATCAATTTGACATCATTTTATGTATTGAAAATAAGATTTCTTTAATCAAATAGTGGTTAACTCTATCATGCGTAACTCACATGAGACGCCAATAGCCTGTAAATTTATGAGTCATTTGGAAGTTGGTGCACTAAATTAAACATAATTGTAAAAAAAATACACAGAACAAAATATTTTGGAAAAAATTATACAGTTAAAATACAAAAACGTAAATGCCCATTCTGTATAAATTTTTTTCTTAACAACTATAATAATGCATTTATTTTTAAGTGCCGAAATTTAGTGTTATTTAATTCGAAATCTCTAATGCACCTTAATTTATGTGTATTTTTTTTTGAAAAGTAGTTTTGTTTTCAAATTATATTTATGCATTAAATATCTTCTAGTTTTATGGGAGTACTTTAATATTTCGTTTATTTTAGAATATATCACTTTGTTTGAATTTCAAAATTTGTTAATATCCGAACTCTATAATAGTATAACAAAAACAGTATAACAATACAATGTAACAAAAACAGTGTTTAGTGGGTTTGTGCATGTGGTAACAAATTTAAATCAGAGATGGACTGTTTTGAATGAAATTATATGAAAATATATATTTAACAAAATATAATAGTACAATACTTTGTGTCAATGTCTTCTTACACTGTTATTGTTACACTATTATTATTAAACTATTATGAAGTTCAGATATTAATATAATTTGAAAACAAAATCACTTTCAAAAAAAATACCCATGAATCAAGGGAGGACATAAAAATACGAAAAATTAAAGTTTTCCTATAAAATTAGGAGATATATTTAATGCACTACTTTCCAAAAAAAAAAAACGCATGGATTAAAGGAGGATATAAATGTCAGAAGAAAATATGAAAATTTCAAATAACGTACTTGGAAACAAATAAGTATCAAAATTAATAACTTTTTTACCCTATATTTTTTTTCTGTGTATTTTTTTTATAATTAACTCTAATTTGATGTACCTCCTTTCAATTTTTCCTAAAATATAAGCCCATAGCCGAAACATTTGCAATTCACGTGCTTTAATTTATGACAAAAAACTTAAAAGTATTCTGGATAAGACTCACATAATTACCAATTCATAACATTAAAGGCTTGTTTGTTATAAGGGTTTGGGGGTTTGGGATCATAGGTTGGAGAGTAAATCC